AAAAAATTTTAATGAAGATATTTATCTTAATTATGAAAATATACTAGCATGTTTTTTAATTTTTGGAACCTAACCCTTTTTTTCGTATTAGTTCTTTGTTTTGTATAACACGGATTCACATAACACGGCAATTTTTTGGAACGTAACTACCGTGTTATACGGGGGTTACCTGTATATCATTATATAATGATATTAATACTTTTGAAAATTGTTAAGTATTAATATACACTTTAAAAGTATTTTATAATGTCTGCCATATCAAATTTTTTAATATATTTTTACTATATTTAATGATTTTAATTAATTTTTCTGATTTTATATTTAGTGCTATAAATATTCTAATTTTCTGAAATGATACAATTGTTAATAATTGATTATTTTTCATAATGAAAAGCAAAACATATTTACCTCATAAAAGTAAAAATATCGGCTGAATGACCAAGGCAGTAAAAGTGTCAGCCTACTGCTCTGGGGATCCAGGATCGAATCTACATGGAGAACTCCAGGAAGTTTTTATGGACTGCCTGTTTTCTCATGGACTGGATATGATAGGCACTTTCCCTCACCACTCAGCTGTCAAAACTGGGTGGTGAGGTCCTAGGGAGGACCTATGTGAGGACTTTTTTTTCAGGCCCATCATAGGTTCATCTAGGCCCTATGTATGGCCTAGCTGACCCCATGATGGGCCTGAAAAAAGGCCTCTTTTAGTGCTGTGCAGAAAGAGACAGAAATGATATATATATATATATATATAATCTTTTTATTTCTGTTTTCAAGATTTAAAATTTTTCATATCGACTCTATTTATAAATTAATTTTCAATTTCAATGAAAGTTTGAATTAGAATTGTGCATTGATTGCTTATTATTAAATATTATATTGATTAGTAGTTTATTTAAAATGAAAAAATATATAAATTAATTTATTTTATTTTTTCACATTAATTAAAAATTGTCAGAAATTAGAGAAATTGTATAATTTCTCCAATGGTTAATATCAAATAAATAAAAGGAATTTGTATTTATAATAAAAATTAACAAGACATAAATGAAACCCATATCTTGTGACTTTCTTATATTCTTTAAGTAAGATTAAAAAAACTCAAATGTAAATTAACAGTGTTTTATATTTATTATATTTGAATAAAATCTTTGAATGACTAATGAAGAAATGACTAAAATCTGAAGAGTAATGGCATAAAAACAATTCTTGATAATTTGAAAATTACCGTTTAAATGCTTAATATATGAATTTATAACTATCATGTTAACTTTACATTTATTTGATTTCACATTTATTGTAGTTCTATTTATAAATAAACTTTTAACCTCAATTTTAAGCATTATACAAATAGGGAAATGTGTTTTACTTGCCACACAAAGTTAATTTTTCCTGTTTTAATATTTCCTGTATTAACTATCATAAATATAATGTGTAATAATTAAATATAATTTATGACTTTTCTCTAAAATAAACATATCTTTAAAGTGAATTTTAAATGATCGATTATATTAATTTAACACAAAAATTTTCTTTATAAATTTAATGTAAATGTTATAAGCCTCTTAATATATTATTTCTTAATAAATCTTTTATATATTTTTTTTTGTATTTCATAACAATAATTGAGTGATAAAAAGTATATTACTTCATTTAGAAATATGAATATTAAGTAATTAAATTCTGATCTTGAACAATTTAAATTATTATAAGAGAATTAATTGAATTATATATTAAAATTTCTTAGAATTTTGATTTGTTAGGATACATGAGTAGTATAAGTTTAATTCTATTAAATAATTACTCAGAACAATAGTAATTATTTAATCAAAAAGGTACTCATTATTTAAACATTAAGATTGTTAACAACAACTATACTTTCTAATGAGAATAATTCTTACTTGATTATAGAAAATTTAACAATAAAGTAAGGAAAATATATTTATAAAAAATACTTGAGCAAATTTTTTTACGTATAATTTGAAATCCGAATAATAATTTAAGTTATATGATTTTTTTTTTTGTCTTTATAGATATGGTGTCAATGATATTTGTAAATCTGAATGTGAATATATTTGTAAGGAGCATTATCATTGCAAGACAGATAATTGTAATATGGTGTTTAAAGGGAAAGATATTTTAGGAGTTCAAGAGCATGCAAGGTAATATTTCAGTTTTTAATATATGAACATTTTTACTTTTTATTTTATTAGAATTTATTAAAATTAATCTATAACATTTGTTAATAAAAGATTTTATTATGCATTTTCTATACTTATTTACATATATACATACATATACATACACATAGTACACTCTTGTTAATCCAGTTTTTAATAATCCAGTTATTTTGGTTATTAAGGACTGGATTTGCAAAAGTTTGTTGTATGTGTATTAACAAGAGCTCTCAATTATCTGGAATACCCACCAATGTGGCATACCCATCACCTATGCACTTCTAAGTTTATAAAAATGTTAGTCATGTCACATGTCCTGTTTTCCTGTCTACTCATGTTTCATTTCTGTGTACAGTATTGCATTTCAGCATGGTATATTTATTTGTCTGCCTGCCTAATGAAAAGAATCAATATTGAAGATTGACATGTGATGTAATTCATTGCCTTTAGGCCTACACACTCAGTAATCCAGCACTCTTGCTAATCCATCAATTTCTTGCACAGAGCAAGAAATTGATGGATTAGCAAGAGACTAGTGTAATTAGTAAAAAAATGCAAAATGTACTTTGCAAAACATTCAAATATATAAATTATTCATTGAAAAATGCTATGATGATGATTGAAAATTCATGAAATCATGTAGATTTAAATCCAGATCTCTCATAATTAGAAAAGAATTTTCTTAATTGATATCAATTTGGCTGATTTTTTTTGTATGAATTATATTATTCTATTCCACAGTATTCTATAATTTATATTTTTGAAATACTCATCATACTTTCCGTATAAAACTTACATAAATAAAATTTTCATTTAATCCAAATAATTGTTATTTGAGAACATTTACAAATACTTTAAATTTAATTATGAAAGTTTTTAAAGGAATTGTTTCATTTCACAATTGATAAGTGTGAAATCATGATATTCATTTATAGTTTCTGAAATAACTGCATAATTGATGTTTGTTTACTTTTGAATAAATAAAAATGCAGTCTAAAATACTTAATATTTTAGAGACATCAATAACATTCAATGATTAACAACAGATGCTATTAATATATTTTAAAATAATATATATGTATATTTAAAATAACTTGGAAGAATCAATGGAGTTATTTATAGTAAAGGTTATTTTGATGTATGTATTTTACAATTATATCATTAGATAATTCATAGCCAAAATTTTAATTCTTTATTCCTCAAATAGAGTTTTTTAATTTATAAATGTTTTATATTGCAGTACATTGCAAATAATTATCAATTATTACACATTGTAAAAGAATGAAAAAATAATTTAATCACTTACTTTATTTAAACTTAATGTAAGTTGTGAATAATTTGAATTAATAGTTTTGGATAAATATTAATTTTTGAATATCATTTCTTTATTTCTTAATAATCAGTTATTATCATCATTTAATTGCATTATTGTAAATATATTTATAATTATATTATTTTGTTTTTAATTCAAATTTCTACAGAATTGTTTATTATTATAGATGCCAAAGAAATTTTGTTTTTATTAATAGAAAAGTTCTATGATATAAATCATTTATCTTAGTTAATTGTTATTAAAAAAGAAATTCTTAATAAAGAATATTTATGTAAATAAAATTTATGTCAGATTATAAATATTTTAAAATAAGTTTTTAAATTCTGTTTTAACTTTAATATTTATTTAATATTTCCTCAAGAAACAAATCTACAATTATTAGTTAAGACTTGCTTTAAATAAAATACATAGTTTATTTTTGTAAATTACATAAATTATTAATAAAGTACATATTCTGGAACTGTGTATTTTCTACACAGTTGTAGAATATGTAGTTTTCTAATCAAATTAAATCAGAAAATACAAAAAAAATATATCATTTAACTCAATTTCAAGTCTATTAGACAGATTTGACATAATACTGAGATCAGAAGGAGTAAATCTGATTTTCATACATGTTACAAATACAATATACTGTATATCTCTTACATTTTAAGTTATTCTACTGTTTTATGCAGTTTCAGTTTTTATTCTTATGTCGAATCATATTTTAATTTAATGGAATTTATTTTAAAAGTTATGATATTTTATATGATTTGACTTTAATTTCATTATTTAAAGCTGTTAGTAATTTTGTATATAAAAATAGTTGTTTTGTTTAAATAATTAAATTAAAGTGTCATATTAAGAAAAATTTAAAACACATAAACATGTTTCTTGTTAATTGATTCCATATATTATTACTTTTGCTTATGTTTAATTTTACTATTACCATAACCAAAATCAGTTTCAAATAAAAATTAGGATTAGAATTAATAATTATTAAGGTCAATATTGATGAAAAGTTAGTTAATTAGAAAATGTTTAGTATGTTTAATAAATAATGATTCAAATAAATTTTCAAACTAGATAATAGGCTAAATTTTATTTTCAATATTAATTAAATTAATTTATAATACTGTATATTAAAGATATTGATAAGTTAAATCTAGCATTTTCATTATTATTTATCATTATTTCATTTTCAAATATTCTAAATGAATTGGTTGTAGAGTTAATATTGCTATTAAAAATAATATCACAAGACTTGGTATATGTTGCATTGCTATTCTGTAAAAAGTGAAATTCTTTGAAGTGAAAGTTCTTTAATCCTGTATCAATTTTAAGAGTATTAGAATGAAGAGACAACTCAACATCTGAAAAATTTCTTATTATTAATTATGATTAAAGTTGCCAATATTTTACAAAAGTTGGAAAATTATAATAGTGATGATAGCTATTTAAACTAGAAAGACTTTTTATTTGATTTTTATACAATGTTTTAAAATTATCTGTTTCTAATGTTAATTAATACAGGAAGGATGCACTGAAGTCATTAGCAGTAATGACAAACCCTTTCGAAGATTGGACCATTATAAAATTCATGAATATTCTCGCAAAATAAATTTTTCTCATGATCAATCTCCACTATCAATGTCTTCTTCCATTGATGGTGTATTTAAGAGAAAACGAGGCCGACCTCCAAAAAATAGAATCATTGAAGTAAGTGAAAAAATAATCTTAATTTTTTAAAATAATTATATGATCAACACCAATATTTATGAAAAATTTTCCATGTAGTTTCCTATGTCGAGCACTTCTTGTCAGCTTCCACAAGCAATTTATACAAGCTTCAAATTACCAAAGCCAAGTTCACAACAACAACCAATATCATTTGGTCCATTTTCACCAACTTCTGTATCTTATACTGGAATACATCCACCAACACTTCTTCCAAAGACCACCAATTCAATATCATTACTTGCACCACCAACATCATCAGTTGCACTCTTAACATCTATTTCACCACCTTTCGTATCGCTTCCTACTTCAGGAAATAATTTGACATTACCCATGCTAAACCAATCTGTCGGCATTGTCGATCAAAAGTCAGTCGACGATGATTCCATTTTACATCATTCCCCTACAGAAACTGGCCAACTTAAACAAGAGGTAATAATAAAGTTATATATTAAAAATTAATATTTATTATGAATTGAAAGAGATTATATAAATTTAATTTTCATTTCTGAATATTATCAGATTTTTTTTTAAATAAAAATTTAGTAGAGTTAGATTTTTTCATTTCATATAAACAATTATTAATTAATTGTTTGACATCTAATAAATATAATTAATTTCTGGTTTGCATATTTTCAAAAAAGTAAATTTTGGAATATTATGGATTGATTTTTCTAATTTAAAAATTTCAAATAGTTTGTTTCCATGTTTTTATTTGTTGTTTTGCATAATATAACTGAGAGTACTACACAATGAATTGATATATGATAATTTATTAAATTCATTTTAATGGAAGGAATGATTCTTATCAATCTTTCTCTAACAAAATTAACACTTATCTACTTTACTCTTTGAAAAATTTTTGTTGTTATTATAAAGAATTTTCAAAATATTATTTCTAAATCAAATTAACAGTTATTAGTGTATATTGCTGATTCCTTTATATTTTAAGAAAGATTGACTTGGTTAGATGAAAAAGTTAATAATGAAAATTTCTGAATATATGAGAAATATGACAACATTAATAATTTATTTAACAACTTTGTACTATAATATATTTTCATACAGAAAATAATCATAATATATAACAAACATCTGCTTTGTTGGAGCTCACTGTAGAAAACTGGTATTTAAAGTGAGCTTTAACAAAGTACAATTTTGTTATANCCTGTGAATCTTGCATGCCGCTTTATATTAACACTTCCTTTGTTACTCAATACTTCCACTGTTAACACTGTTAACACTTCCATTGTTGACACTTCCATTGTTACACATCTTCGAAGTCAACCACTTTCAACCCCATGTCTCCCACACCCTTATAACACAGAATGCAAGAATTAGGTCCCTGTTTCCAGACTAATTAAAGAATTTTTACATACAGTCAAATAAACTATTTTCAATTTGATCAATTTTCCGGAACGTTTACAATCGTTCTATAATTGAACCAATTCAAATTCGAATACAAATTTGAATTTAAAATGGTTCGAACATTTTTAAAATCGAAATAGAAAATCTTTGAAGTCAACCACTTTAAGCCTCCATATCTCCCGCACCCTTACAGCTATCAAGATGCATGAACCACCATAGTGCACGAATGGAAACTTGGGGCTACTACCACATACAAACATCATTCATGTGTGATGTGTAGTTTTGGCTGAAAAGTGAAATATGGGGACACACGTCCATTTATATANTTTACTATATTTAATGATTTTAATTAATTTTTCTGATTTTATATTTAGTGCTATAAATATTCTAATTTTCTGAAATGATACAATTGTTAATAATTGATTATTTTTCATAATGAAAAGCAAAACATATTTACCTCATAAAAGTAAAAATATCGGCTGAATGACCAAGGCAGTAAAAGTGTCAGCCTACTGCTCTGGGGATCCAGGATCGAATCTACATGGAGAACTCCAGGAAGTTTTTATGGACTGCCTGTTTTCTCATGGACTGGATATGATAGGCACTTTCCCTCACCACTCAGCTGTCAAAACTGGGTGGTGAGGTCCTAGGGAGGACCTATGTGAGGACTTTTTTTTCAGGCCCATCATAGGTTCATCTAGGCCCTATGTATGGCCTAGCTGACCCCATGATGGGCCTGAAAAAAGGCCTCTTTTAGTGCTGTGCAGAAAGAGACAGAAATGATATATATATATATATTNTTTAATGGAATTTATTTTAAAAGTTATGATATTTTATATGATTTGACTTTAATTTCATTATTTAAAGCTGTTAGTAATTTTGTATATAAAAATAGTTGTTTTGTTTAAATAATTAAATTAAAGTGTCATATTAAGAAAAATTTAAAACACATAAACTGAATGACTAATGAAGAAATGACTAAAATCTGAAGAGTAATGGCATAAAAACAATTCTTGATAATTTGAAAATTACCGTTTAAATGCTTAATATATGAATTTATAACTATCATGTTAACTTTACATTTATTTGATTTCACATTTATTGTAGTTCTATTTATAAATAAACTTTTAACCTCAATTTTAAGCATTATACAAATAGGGAAATGTGTTTTACTTGCCACACAAAGTTAATTTTTCCTGTTTTAATATTTCCTGTATTAACTATCATAAATATAATGTGTAATAATTAAATATAATTTATGACTTTTCTCTAAAATAAACATATCTTTAAAGTGAATTTTAAATGATCGATTATATTAATTTAACACAAAAATTTTCTTTATAAATTTAATGTAAATGTTATAAGCCTCTTAATATATTATTTCTTAATAAATCTTTTATATATTTTTTTTTGTATTTCATAACAATAATTGAGTGATAAAAAGTATATTACTTCATTTAGAAATATGAATATTAAGTAATTAAATTCTGATCTTGAACAATTTAAATTATTATAAGAGAATTAATTGAATTATATATTAAAATTTCTTAGAATTTTGATTTGTTAGGATACATGAGTAGTATAAGTTTAATTCTATTAAATAATTACTCAGAACAATAGTAATTATTTAATCAAAAAGGTACTCATTATTTAAACATTAAGATTGTTAACAACAACTATACTTTCTAATGAGAATAATTCTTACTTGATTATAGAAAATTTAACAATAAAGTAAGGAAAATATATTTATAAAAAATACTTGAGCAAATTTTTTTACGTATAATTTGAAATCCGAATAATAATTTAAGTTATATGATTTTTTTTTTTGTCTTTATAGATATGGTGTCAATGATATTTGTAAATCTGAATGTGAATATATTTGTAAGGAGCATTATCATTGCAAGACAGATAATTGTAATATGGTGTTTAAAGGGAAAGATATTTTAGGAGTTCAAGAGCATGCAAGGTAATATTTCAGTTTTTAATATATGAACATTTTTACTTTTTATTTTATTAGAATTTATTAAAATTAATCTATAACATTTGTTAATAAAAGATTTTATTATGCATTTTCTATACTTATTTACATATATACATACATATACATACACATAGTACACTCTTGTTAATCCAGTTTTTAATAATCCAGTTATTTTGGTTATTAAGGACTGGATTTGCAAAAGTTTGTTGTATGTGTATTAACAAGAGCTCTCAATTATCTGGAATACCCACCAATGTGGCATACCCATCACCTATGCACTTCTANAAAAAAAAATTTTTTTAATTTAGCCTTTATTGCATATTTAACTTTTTTCACAAATTTGAGAAACACAATTGATTCTGATTAATTTGTTATTTTTAATACTATAAATAGGCATTTTGACTTTTCAAAACTCTTTAAAAAATATAATTAATTTTTGTGTCATAGAGTTGAACTTTTCTAGTATGTACAGTACTTATTGAGCATTAAATTGAATAATGGCAAGAGCTGGATATTTTATGGACAAACTTGTCATGTTTTATTAATTTACTAATTTTTTTTCTAACTTTTTCTAAATTAATTATTCTAAACATTTTTCATGTTAGTTTTTGATGTTTTATATTATATCTCAAATTCATTCTGTAAAGTTATAAAATAGACTGATAACATTCTGATATATTTGCATATTTGTACTCTTAAATATTTTTGAATATATTATTTTTATCAAATACATACATATTACAGTTGGCCCCCCTATAACACTGTTGATAATTCCATTTTATATGAATTCCATATTGTACAAGCCACTTAGATTTTACAAATATGTGAGCCATTCACAGCCCGGCATGTATTTGTAAAATCTAAATGATTCATACAACATGGAATTCATATAAAATGGAATTATCAACAGTGTTATAGGGGAGTCAACTGTATACAGTTATTAGAAAAATCATGTAAATTAAAATTTTTGATATTTAATAATAATATACTGTAATTCAAATTATAAATAGAATTTTTCAACATGATCTAAATTATAATAAATGACCATTTGTAATAATTTGAGATTCTTAAAATTTAAATTGATTGTGAAGCTACTAAACATTGAACATTGGTTTTAATGTATTTTATTTTAGTCTTTAAATTTTAAAAGAAATTTATTTTATATCTTGTAAACAGGAAAATGTGTAAGGAATGATTTACTTGTTGAAAGGATGGAAGGTCAGTTATCTGCTGACTTATGAATAAAATGACTTTTGACCTTTCTTTCAGTCATGTTCTATATAAATTATCAGTAAAAGAAAGAAAAAACTTCAGTTACAAACAAAGGTTGAAATAAAGTTTGTNAATTGTAATATGGTGTTTAAAGGGAAAGATATTTTAGGAGTTCAAGAGCATGCAAGGTAATATTTCAGTTTTTAATATATGAACATTTTTACTTTTTATTTTATTAGAATTTATTAAAATTAATCTATAACATTTGTTAATAAAAGATTTTATTATGCATTTTCTATACTTATTTACATATATACATACATATACATACACATAGTACACTCTTGTTAATCCAGTTTTTAATAATCCAGTTATTTTGGTTATTAAGGACTGGATTTGCAAAAGTTTGTTGTATGTGTATTAACAAGAGCTCTCAATTATCTGGAATACCCACCAATGTGGCATACCCATCACCTATGCACTTCTAAGTTTATAAAAATGTTAGTCATGTCACATGTCCTGTTTTCCTGTCTACTCATGTTTCATTTCTGTGTACAGTATTGCATTTCAGCATGGTATATTTATTTGTCTGCCTGCCTAATGAAAAGAATCAATATTGAAGATTGACATGTGATGTAATTCATTGCCTTTAGGCCTACACACTCAGTAATCCAGCACTCTTGCTAATCCATCAATTTCTTGCACAGAGCAAGAAATTGATGGATTAGCAAGAGACTAGTGTAATTAGTAAAAAAATGCAAAATGTACTTTGCAAAACATTCAAATATATAAATTATTCATTGAAAAATGCTATGATGATGATTGAAAATTCATGAAATCATGTAGATTTAAATCCAGATCTCTCATAATTAGAAAAGAATTTTCTTAATTGATATCAATTTGGCTGATTTTTTTTGTATGAATTATATTATTCTATTCCACAGTATTCTATAATTTATATTTTTGAAATACTCATCATACTTTCCGTATAAAACTTACATAAATAAAATTTTCATTTAATCCAAATAATTGTTATTTGAGAACATTTACAAATACTTTAAATTTAATTATGAAAGTTTTTAAAGGAATTGTTTCATTTCACAATTGATAAGTGTGAAATCATGATATTCATTTATAGTTTCTGAAATAACTGCATAATTGATGTTTGTTTACTTTTGAATAAATAAAAATGCAGTCTAAAATACTTAATATTTTAGAGACATCAATAACATTCAATGATTAACAACAGATGCTATTAATATATTTTAAAATAATATATATGTATATTTAAAATAACTTGGAAGAATCAATGGAGTTATTTATAGTAAAGGTTATTTTGATGTATGTATTTTACAATTATATCATTAGATAATTCATAGCCAAAATTTTAATTCTTTATTCCTCAAATAGAGTTTTTTAATTTATAAATGTTTTATATTGCAGTACATTGCAAATAATTATCAATTATTACACATTGTAAAAGAATGAAAAAATAATTTAATCACTTACTTTATTTAAACTTAATGTAAGTTGTGAATAATTTGAATTAATAGTTTTGGATAAATATTAATTTTTGAATATCATTTCTTTATTTCTTAATAATCAGTTATTATCATCATTTAATTGCATTATTGTAAATATATTTATAATTATATTATTTTGTTTTTAATTCAAATTTCTACAGAATTGTTTATTATTATAGATGCCAAAGAAATTTTGTTTTTATTAATAGAAAAGTTCTATGATATAAATCATTTATCTTAGTTAATTGTTATTAAAAAAGAAATTCTTAATAAAGAATATTTATGTAAATAAAATTTATGTCAGATTATAAATATTTTAAAATAAGTTTTTAAATTCTGTTTTAACTTTAATATTTATTTAATATTTCCTCAAGAAACAAATCTACAATTATTAGTTAAGACTTGCTTTAAATAAAATACATAGTTTATTTTTGTAAATTACATAAATTATTAATAAAGTACATATTCTGGAACTGTGTATTTTCTACACAGTTGTAGAATATGTAGTTTTCTAATCAAATTAAATCAGAAAATACAAAAAAAATATATCATTTAACTCAATTTCAAGTCTATTAGACAGATTTGACATAATACTGAGATCAGAAGGAGTAAATCTGATTTTCATACATGTTACAAATACAATATACTGTATATCTCTTACATTTTAAGTTATTCTACTGTTTTATGCAGTTTCAGTTTTTATTCTTATGTCGAATCATATTTTAATTTAATGGAATTTATTTTAAAAGTTATGATATTTTATATGATTTGACTTTAATTTCATTATTTAAAGCTGTTAGTAATTTTGTATATAAAAATAGTTGTTTTGTTTAAATAATTAAATTAAAGTGTCATATTAAGAAAAATTTAAAACACATAAACATGTTTCTTGTTAATTGATTCCATATATTATTACTTTTGCTTATGTTTAATTTTACTATTACCATAACCAAAATCAGTTTCAAATAAAAATTAGGATTAGAATTAATAATTATTAAGGTCAATATTGATGAAAAGTTAGTTAATTAGAAAATGTTTAGTATGTTTAATAAATAATGATAATATAATTAAATAATAAAATTTTAGTTTTGGAATTAATAAACACAAAATAGAATTTTAATTAATAAAAATATGATATTGATTTAAATAAATCAATAGAAGTAATGTTCAGAGAATGTAATGAGATAAATTTGAAAAGTTATATTATTTTCTATAATTTTAGATACAGTGGTGCCTCGTATAACATACTTAATCCGTTCCAGGTGCACGTCCGTTAAGTGAATAGTCCGTTATATGAAACGCATTTTCCCATAGAAATACATGTTAAAACATATAATTTGTTCCGCAGCATAAAATAACCTTACTGTACCATAAAAAAAATGAAAATTGAGCAGTCACCAATTATGACGGGTAGTCAGATGTTGTGAGGAGGAGGTGGAGGAACACTTTCTTTACACATTCATACAGATACAGACTTTTTACACATTGCAGCAGGTATCTTTTTATTGTTTAATCGGAGTCAGATTCAGGAGAGGCTACCGGAGCTTACAGGGTCAACTCCTCTTGTTTCATCCTTTGTTTTTTTGGCACATGGCTTCTTGAAAAACAGGTCCAAGGTGGTCTGTTTCTCTCTCTTCTTCAACACCTGTCAGAAATGACAGGCAAGGGTGTCATTGTAGAGATCATTGATCCTGTTGGCCTCAGCTGTGTTTGGATAATGAGTGTTGGTAAACTCCTGAACATCTCCCCATTTGACAAGGAAGTTTTTGTCAACTTTCACTCCTGATGATGTCTTGCTTTGTTTCAATTGAAATCACCTTTCTGTTTTTTTAGAAGCCATGATTTGCACAACACTTGAACCTGCACTGAGGTGATGTACGTAATAAACAAGGGAGCAAGCCGAATCCCAACGGGAGCTCTGTACTTCAGATATACTAATAATATATTCTAATAATACTAATATATTATAAAAATAGCAGATTGTCATTAGCAATGGCAAAAGAGTGGANTCACCTACGCCAAAGAAACAGCATCTTTCGTCGAGTGATGATGATGATATCAAAAGTCCAGTAACGACAGTCTTATCATCCAGTGGTGTTATTAGCAGCATAAATTTTTGTGCTGACAATCAACCAAAAACAAGTGTTGTAAGAGCCTCTGGTACTTTTTATCCACTTTCAGCATTCTCAACATCAAGTTTGACAACAGGAACTTCTGTTCCAACTTTCAGTTCTAACACTATATTCAGTGAAACTGATAAAGGAAAAGATAAATCATTCCCTTCAATGTCACCTAAGCCTGATCATGCATTGACAAAACTTTTACAGCAACCTGGTCCAAATATAAGAAATTCATTTCAAGGAACTGAAAAGCATATTCAATATGGACCTACAATTAGCTGTGGAAGGCCATTTTGCAAGCTGAAAAAGAAAGAACATTTTCATTGTAATGTTTGCAATCAGGTAAGTAAACATGAATTTCAAGAAATGCTGCTGATAATGGATGGAATTATTTTTACTAAATTAAAGTTTATCAAAACAAATAAGGTTAGAATAATCAAATAGATAGAATTCATTATTTTCAACTGTGGAGACTATGTGTATAATGTTGGGTGATTTGTATTCACATTTCTTTTTTTCTATCATAAAATATCTTTTGTGATATTTTTTCCTGAAAACAATAAAATATATTTTCAAGTAAAAACTCTTTTATTATTTTTGTTTTTGTAAAAGAATGTATTGCAAGAATTTTTTATGGTAATAAGATTTCGAGTTTAATAATATAAAATAAAATTAATTTATATGAATGTAAAAATGTTTCCTTTTCTGTCTAAGGGTTGGTAGGGGAATGCATATGATCCACATTTAGTCTCATCACAATATTACGGTTGTCTGATTGTGATGTCGGCACCTGGAAAAACCAAATATTTGTTCTAGGAAATGATGTGAGACTGATTGCACTGACGGATGAACAGATATCTGTTAGTTAGGATTCAATATCATAACTAGACATACTCTGGCTAATTCACCTGTAATTTTATTTAATTGATGATAATGTAAGAAAATTTCTTGGAATTAAAGTGCAATTCTAAAATAATATATCACTAATTTAATTAATTAAAGGCTACAAATTGAATTACATTTAAATTTGCTATATTTTCATAAATATACAGAAAAAAATTAATAATTATTTTAAATTTTATTTTATTTATCATAATCGTATAAAAAATTCTTCTGCTTCATTGCATTGTTTTTAATGATTTTTAAATAGAATAATTCAACAGATAATGCCATTTTTTAAATCATCAATATTGATGCACTTTTTTATAATTTAACAGATTTGGATTTAATCAGCTTGCCAAATTATAATAAGCTGTTTGATGTAATATTAAGAATTAAAATTACTTGTCAAAACAATAAAAGAATATTTTGCGAATAAATAGATTTAACTATTTCTTCATCAATTATATCAATTACTTATAATTAATTCAGAATTAAATAATTTTTAACTAATTAATAAATTATAAATATATACATCTTTTTAAAATTCAAATGCAAGCTTTTATCAGCATATTTGAATATTCTATAACAGTTTAATATATAAAAATTTCATCTAAGTTTCCAAGATAACAATATTGTTAGAATCTGAAGATGAAGAAATAAGAGAACAAGTATATAAAAGAAGAAATAACATTGATATGAAAATTCTTCTGAGAAGTAATCATCAGCAACAACAATTACAAGAATTTGATAATTATTTTTATTGAAGTATTCGAGTAAATATTAATGAAAGAATATTTCTTCAATGTATTTGGTGTAATGTAATAAACAAATAAATGCATTTTGTTGAATACAGTGATAGAAAATATTGAAAACATATAATAATGGGTGCTAATTGTAATTTAAAATAATGAAGCTGAAGTTGAAGGGAGTACTGGTTATTGACCAAATTTATTAGTTTAAAAATTTAACTTTTTCTATCTGAATTATTTATAAATAAATTTAACAATAATTGATATATATTTAAATTGTCTTTGGAATATTTTTTCTTTCAATCTCTTTTTTATGGCATTTAAAAACTTAGTCTCTAATAGACTTACTCTATTTAAGCTTTTGTTTTTATGCATTTTCTGCTTGTAATTTTCTTGGCTCAAATTACTATTTTGGATTTATAATCTTTTCAAACTACAAATTACAATACAACCTAAATTATTATTTAAAATTTCAAACTGTTTGAAAAAAACTCAACAATGGCCATCTCCCTCTACTTCCAGATACAAGAAGGATTCTATGCATTTCCTGATAATACACCTTGTCCTGATGAACAATGCATGTTTTACGGTCAGCATCATTTCCATTGCACCCAGCCTCGTTGCTTCTACGTCACAGACCGCAGTGACATCCTACTTTTACATTCTAAGGATTTTCATGACAACATTGACATCATGGAAGGTTATGTGTTTTATGATTGGAGTGTTGACTGTCAGTATTCTAACTGTCCTAGCAACAAGGTAAACCGTCATTTTCACTGTACTCGACCAAACTGTAACTATTCCTTTGTGCGATATAGTACAATGAGCTTGCATGAACAAAAACATAGAAATATTTCACCTACGCCAAAGAAACAGCATCTTTCGTCGAGTGATGATGATGATATCAAAAGTCCAGTAACGACAGTCTTATCATCCAGTGGTGTTATTAGCAGCATAAATTTTTGTGCTGACAATCAACCAAAAACAAGTGTTGTAAGAGCCTCTGGTACTTTTTATCCACTTTCAGCATTCTCAACATCAAGTTTGACAACAGGAACTTCTGTTCCAACTTTCAGTTCTAACACTATATTCAGTGAAACTGATAAAGGAAAAGATAAATCATTCCCTTCAATGTCACCTAAGCCTGATCATGCATTGACAAAACTTTTACAGCAACCTGGTCCAAATATAAGAAATTCATTTCAAGGAACTGAAAAGCATATTCAATATGGACCTACAATTAGCTGTGGAAGGCCATTTTGCAAGCTGAAAAAGAAAGAACATTTTCATTGTAATGTTTGCAATCAGGTAAGTAAACATGAATTTCAAGAAATGCTGCTGATAATGGATGGAATTATTTTTACTAAATTAAAGTTTATCAAAACAAATAAGGTTAGAATAATCAAATAGATAGAATTCATTATTTTCAACTGTGGAGACTATGTGTATAATGTTGGGTGATTTGTATTCACATTTCTTTTTTTCTATCATAAAATATCTTTTGTGATATTTTTTCCTGAAAACAATAAAATATATTTTCAAGTAAAAACTCTTTTATTATTTTTGTTTTTGTAAAAGAATGTATTGCAAGAATTTTTTATGGTAATAAAAGAAGAAATGTGAACTTTACTTTTCACAATCTCTTAGATATAATATATGCTAATAATTAATTACATATAGTTGAAAGTTTAGATTAGATACATAAGTAAATGATTTGTAATTCTATTTCTAAACGTTTTTACACATCGTGTTTAATATACACAATAATAAAATATGATTAAAACTTGAAGACCTTAAAACAATCTTATACAGGGATTTTCTGTATATTAAATGTGTTCTTCTTTCCATATACTATAATGTGAATTGAATAGGTTAAATGGTAACAAAGAATTATTGCTGTTTAGCCTATTGCTGGAATTGAAAGTTTTATTGTGTTTTAATTCATTATTTTTTACATTTCTTTGCATTTTCAACTTACTTAATATTTTTGTATGTTGCTATTTTTAATTTTATTTTTTACACTTTGTTTTGTTTTTAATTGGGTGTTTGTTTGTTTGTTTTAGTTACTATGGGGTAATCATTTCAACTCATGTAAGACTTACAAATAATAAATAAATAAATTTTTAATATTGTGTACTTCTTTACATGTTATATATTTACTTAAAGTAAATGGTAGCTATAATAGCTATTGTGTATTATAATAGCTGAACTAATTTCATATTATAAACCATAAGACTTCAATTATTTAAAATAGTTTTAAAATTATGATGAAGGAATGTTTCATGTTGAATTGTTCATTAGTATTTACATTTGTTTTATATAAGAACAATTAAATAAAATAATTATTAATTTACAGTTATAGATTATTTTAAGTTTTTATAAATTAAATTTTCATTTTAGAGAATAAGAATCAATCAAGTATTCTTCTTTGATTAACTTATAAGTTATATTAATACTGTATTTAAAATTAATTTTTTTAGATTTTATTGTTTTTTGTATGTTATATTCATTAAAGTGTTATAAAATACTGGATAAGAGTTAAATTGATGATAATACATTAAATACTTAATATAATGATATAAAAATATCTAAATTGTTTTGAAAAGAAGAAAGCCAGTTTATATGTAAAATAAATTTCACATATTATATATTTCTTTTAAATTTTTAATTGAAACTTATTTATTTCTTTTCTTTTTTAGACATTTTCCAATTTCTTACGTTTAAAGCCGCATGTAACAAAACATTGTGGAGCAGTTAGTCCAGTTCCTATATACTGTGGCAGTGGAGGAAGTCCTGAATCCCCACCATCCGCTACACTCCCTGGAGAAGATGGATTAGACGAAAGAGAAGGAACATCCGATGATGATGATGAAGGAAAAGATGAGCAGTGTAATATTATTCCTGACTCTTCGTATCATGAAGCAAACATACTTGATTCAAGTCGAGATGAACTTAAAATAGCGATGCCTTCCCTATACACTTGGCAGGCAATGACATCTGGTTCTCCTTCGATCACTTTGCAAAGTCCACCTTCATATGCGAACAGTGTTGAAATTTCAGATGCACATCTCTCAAATTCCTTTATTAACAGACCGAGTTCATTTATCACTCAAGCTACTTCTGATGTTTCTAAAAAAGAAAAATTTTATGGTTCACCTCAAGTTGATTTTAATGCTCACATGACTGAAACTGATTGCATGGACCAAAATAAATTAATTCGCAAACGAACTTTTCCCGAGAAGCGTGATGATGTATCAGAGCCAAAGAAGATCAAATTGACAAGTTTGCGAATTTTAAAAGATGAACCCGTACCTTCAGGTTATGTTCGTTATCGTTTTAACGAAGACTGTGGTTACTCGTTCTGTGGTTACAGGGAACATCAAACCCATTTTCATTGTATGAGGAAAGATTGTGGATATAGTTTCTGTGACAAAACTAGATTTGTGCAACATACTGCTCGACACGAGCGTCTCGATACTCTTATGGGTGGTGATTTTCAACAGTATCGCTCAAATGTCAATTGTGGTCGTTCAGAGTGCATATATGCAAATACACTTGGTGCCATGGCAAACAAATCCTCCCACTTCCATTGCATCAAATGTGATTTTGTATGTACAGATACCAATAAGGTGGTAGCTCATCGTAGACAGCATACCAAAATGGACAGTATCAGTGCTGCAGGATTTGAAAAGTTCACCCAATTACAAAACTGCAATGTACAAGGTTGCAATCATAACCAGAGACAAACTCATTATCACTGCCTGAAATGCCAATATGCAGTCTTAGGTCTATCTCAAATGTCATCTCATAAATATCGTCACATGGAATGATTTCCAGAATTTAATTTCAGGGTAATATAATCAGTTTTTATGCAAATTTTCAAATATCCACATAGATGCTTAAAAATAATTGTAAGTCAATATTTATTTATCAAAGCAGAATATTTACATAAAAAACCATCACGTCAAGATCAGTGTTTCAGAATTATCTACTCACAATTATTATTGATTTTTACAAATTAAGCATCTATTCTGTTACAAAAAAATGAAACTATTTTCAAAATAGAAAAGGCTGAGGAATATATCAGAATAAGGAAAATGAATGCCAGAATGTAAATTCCAACAAATCACCACCTCAGGACTATATTCCTCTTGGGGACAACTGTTGATATTTACCAGTTTAGGGTCCATTATAGTGTTATGCAGTACAAAGTGCCTTTCAAGTGTAATGTCCTGTTTCCAGCATTCCTATATGACCTTTACAAGCACCAAGTGCTCCCATGTAGTGATTGTATTATAGAACAAATCATTGGAAGATAAAATATTATTGCAAAGCAATATAAGCAACCTCCTAGTATCCAGTATGTATTATGACAGAACTTTAGATTTAGTTGATTATTATTATTATACTATTATTATTATTATTATTATTATATTATTATTATTATTATTATTATATTATTATTATTAATTATTTTTTACAACCAAAATGCAAGTTCTGCCAATACTGTATCAAGTATATAGTGTTATTATTTACGTGCCAAAAAACGAAGACGATAAACTTCTTCCATTGCCTGCCCATAAAATTTGCATAATGAAATTCATTTTGGCAGCAAATGTTTGCATTTTTAAATTCTACTTATGGAAGTGGAGCGTTTATGGGTGGACAAAGTATATAAAGAAAGCAACCGAAGATAAATTCACTCTGTGATATTGTGACAGAAATTAAAAGAGGAGATACGGAGTACACTCCAAAGTAATTGTGCTGAAAGAAGAATTGGAAATAACAAACTGAAAGATAATTAGATCATCTGTGCTAGTCACAACTGTAAGATATGGTCATTGGTGAGTTAGCATTATCATGCTAGGGTGATGGTATACCCAAATTCCACATTTTTTAGTGTTAAACACAGGGATATACTCTAGGTGTTTTGTGCCTTCCCATTTCATTGGTGTGTTGTGCAGATAGTTTAGTCCGGGAACCTGTATTTATTTTACCAAAAAAGTTTACCATGTTTTGTGATGTAGGCAAAAGACAGTTGAAGAAAATGTGAATACTGGCAAAGAAAAGGGACTATTTTATAGACAAAAAACTAAAATTTTTGTGTGTGAGCATGTGTGTATGCATGTGATTTCATCCTTGTGGCAATGTCGATATGTGCCAGGTTTTGTGTTTAGTAATGTCTCTAAAAGAGACCAATATTCTTTCCACAATAGATTTAAATATTTACTGTACTGTATGTTCATTATAGGTCACAGATACTTCCATCGAATTCCATAAAATTAGTTCACAAGTGCCTTAGATTCTCATATATTTAATTTACCATAGATCTTCATCCCTTTAGAGACAATCTATCAAATACATATCAATTTTATATGATTACTAAAGTTTAATTACAATTTCCCAAAGGCACTGTTTGCAATAGTATCAATAAGTTCAAAATTTTCAATTTTAAAAAACCTCCAAAATAAAAAACAAAATAAAAAGTGGCATTAATTTTCTTGAAGGTAATTTTGGTTCTGATTTTTTTTTATTTTTAACTCAATTAGGTGCCATAAATTGAAACTTCATGTACACATACACATTTGAAATTCAATTAGCCAAAATTTTACATTTGGTGATTTCATTTAATGCCAAGATTAAAAAAAATTACAAATTTTTTTCAAACTTTTCATTATTTTAATAAAGGGAATAGTGCCTTTTTAAAATTTATATACATTTTCAAAAATTGCATTAAGTTATGGCCAGTATAATTAACGTAAAAATTCGGATGTACTCTTTTTTGACTACCATTAAATTATTCTAAGCATTTCTTTGCCTTGTAAGCATTCTCCAATACCCGAAACACTAATTTACATGCATTATTATGGAAGTCTCTGCTTGTCTTATTTGATTTAGAAGTGAACCATTTTTGTCACATCAAACTGATTTCAAAATAAATGATCTGCAGTTGATTTTAACTACTGCACAAGTTGTCTGTGTCTTGTATCGAATTTTAACACCCGTGTTAATTAAATATACAATTTATTTTCTATATAAATAAATTTTAATCTTAATTCATTAACGTTTTAAAATTTATAAACTTTTATAAACAATTTATTTCTAAAAAATAAAGAAGATAAAGCCGTGCAAATTTTTTCCCCGATAAATTACCGAATAAATGCTATTATTAAATATAAATCGGTTTTAACTTTTTTCAATATACAAATAATTGCATTTTCTTTTATCTAATTTATTATTTAGGCAAACGTCGGTACAAACCTCAATGAGATTAAGTACGAAATTGTTCCACAAACCGGAGGCATCAATTATCTCTAACGAAAAAATGAAATTAAGACATTGACACCGAAACACACATACTAATTTTTATTTTTCTGAACACATACAAATGCAGTTACAGAAAAAAGATATACACATACAATGCACTGAAACACATTATTATTTTATTGTTTAGTATTATTGGTTTTTTTAATTTTTTTAAACGTTTTTTTTTCTGACTGAGTGGACAAGAATGGAAAAAAATATGTATATTGTTTTTATATTAACATGACAGACAAGCTGTTTTCTTAAAAGTTATTCTATATCAGTATTAAGAAATATTGAAAAAAGATTTCACAATGCTACAGACCAGTTATCACCTTTGTAAATTTAAATATCACTTTAACAGGAATAATAATCATCATTTTTTCTTTTTTTTTATATTTATTAAAAAAGAAACAAACAAGAAAAAAACTGATATAAAATAATTTAAAACAAAACTTGAAATCCACTCTCTTAAGAGATAAATATTCAAGTTTTAAAACTTGTTCATATTTTTCTTCTTTCATAAAATTGAATATAATTAAAAAATTTAACACCAATCATCATCATCATCATCATCATCATCATCATCATCATCATCATCATAAAAATATGCTGGAGTAATTTTTAAAAAACATTGCACTATTTTTTCTGATAATTTTATTTTAAAACACCAAAAAACATCTTCCATACTGCATTTAACCATATTAAATTCGAAGATTGCATAGTCCAAAACTAAAAAGAGAAATAAATATAATCTTTTTTTTTCATTATAAACATACATTTAGTATTAATTTAGACATTAACGATGGCAGTATATACCAGTATGTTTTTTTTTTTCTTTTTTATTATCAAGAATATTACATGAACAATATTGCTTGTCCTACTTATTATCTCACTATCAATGGCCTAAAATATTGTGAGCACATCAAATTACAAACATTATCACAGCACATCAGTACAGGAAATTTTTATTGGCATCCTTACATCAAAAAAGCATAGGAATGGTTAAGAAACATTTAATAAAAAACAAGTTTTTATCTCGATCATATATTATACGACTTTACAACATGACTACGTTATTTATATTAAGGGTGTTTTTATTTATTTATTTTTTATTTTATTTACTTTTGTATCATTTATTTCGATCGTCTTTAAGATGTCAGCGGAGTGTATATCACTGTTTATATCTGTGCTCTGGTGCAGTCTGCTAGAAATGTATATAAAGAGAATCTGACAAAAACATCTGTAGGAAGAGAAAGGACATTATTTAAAAACTATAGGTTAGCAACACTATTAAAGATTGTCTTGTAAAATGCCAAATATCTTTTTTCCTATATTATGAAATTTAAAATGTTGTAAATCATTAAAAATTAATCAGTTTTGTTTATCTTTCTTGAGAGCCATTAGAACGTCAGTCAGACATATAAATACCAATATAAATAAATGTTTTACATGGAAGACACACGTGGAATGGAGGATTTTAAATATATATAATATATATTTTATATATATTTGGCAATACCCAAAATTTTCGGGTGTAAGGATATATATATATATATTTTTTTTTTTTATTTGGAAGTCTATATAATTTTGGCAATTAGTTTGAAGCCGGGAAGCTCCGACGATGTTCTATGCAATGATTGTGGGAATCTTTCCATTGATTTAACCTATTTACTTTCTAAGAAAAATAAGGGGAAAAAAAACTATTTAATAAATAATAAAATTTAAATAAAAAATAATTAAAAAAACGCATCCTTATAAGCGATGCCCGAAAGTATTTTATTATTATTTTTTGCATAGAAGCCTTCATAAAGCCTCATACACGATACATAGAAGCAGGCACTTAGACATTTACAGCACGTGACATATACATACATACACAATTACAGCCAATAATAAGCAATATTGCTTCTAAAGTCTCTCAAGATACTGTTAAGATTTATTATCCTTGCATAATAATAATAATAATAGATAAAGTTTTGTTTTTTTGATTTTATTGTTTCTTTTATCATAAAAATGCCAAGTAAAACGATAAGTGTAAATTGTTTAGGGGAATTCAAACAAGAAATATATAAAAATAGATTTCCTTTGCCCCTTAGTACAAACCTTTCCCCAATCATCGAATTGTCTTCCTTTATTTTATTTTTTTATTATTTTTTGGACATTGCCCAGCGGCATCCTCTTGGGCACCGCGTTAATAGAAAAAAATCACAGCATTCCTATAATGTACATACATCTACAATCTTAAATCTTTCTCCGTTTTATTTCATACATATCACAATATCAGAGATGATAATAATTGTTTTTTTTATTATTATTATTATTTCAAATCCTTATTTTCTCTCTTTTATTTATTTATTTTAATCTTTCCCCAGGTCAATTAATAAAACCTGTTTGACAGTAACTAGATATAATTTGTCTATCGTGTATAATGCGCGGAAATACACCAGTTTATGAATTATTTTTATTATGATTTTTCCTTTATTGCACGAATAAAAAAAAAAGGAAGAAGAAGAAGGAAATATGTAGGACACGTAAAATAACTAACTAAAATAATGGCTAAGCCAGAAAATACTGTTCGGATTAATTAACTGTAGATTTTAAAATTCTTTCTTTGGCATGGTGTGCGTTCAATATATTACTATCACTTAGTAAAAGTTTTAAAAATCACAGAGTTTAAACGAGGGCATCTCGTTATATTTTAGTTTGGTTTCTTTTTTTTTTTTTTTTATATTTATTAAAAAAGAAACAAACAAGNGTATATATATAGGCCTATATGTATGTATGTCTTTCTTTTTAACAGTATAAACTGACTTATATAAGAAGTATTAAGATGGAATGTGTTATTCTAAGGCTACAGATGCACATACAAACAAACAAATGAAGATTATTATTGTTTGTACACAAGTGATTGCCGTCTCATTTGATTTAGTAATAAAATTTTTTCCTTTATCTGAAGGGGATGTTTTTTGTTTTTTTTATTTAATTATTTATAACAAAATTCGGAAAAATTTGCTTAGCACGCATGCAATAATTGAGATCAATATATATATATATATATATATATAAATGCGCTAGTTATAATAATAAATATATATAAAAGCTAAGAAGAAACAAAAGGATTTGTTTCACTCTTATATACTCTAAAATTAATTGCAGAATTAAAATAATAATAATAATATTTTACCAGAGAAAAATAGTTGATTTTTTTTTAATTAGTGTTTTCTTTTTTTTTCAAAGATATCACAAATATATAAATAACTTTGCACTAAAAAATAATTGTAAAAGCAATAATTTAAAATATTAAACAAAATAGGAACTTGTTTTCTATAGCATCTAGGCAGAAAAATAAAATATTCAAGCTATATACAATTGATGGAGTATTTAGTTTTTTGAGTTTTTTTAAGTATATTTTTTTGGTTTTTTTGATGATAAAATGAGAAATTTGATCTAAAAAATTATTATTAGTTTGTATGTATATATATATATAATTTTTTTTGTTTGGTTTTTTTGGTTTGAAAGACAAAAAGCAGTAGTTTGTTATTGTTATAACTGGAATGGTAACGATTCGAATCACAACCGAAACAAGAAGAAAAGCTTTTAGAACTGAAGCTGCCATCGAAAAATTTTTTTAGAGTGCTGTTGGTTGTCGGTTATTTGATAAGACCATACATACACTTAAACAAAATTCCCTTTTTTTTTGTGGAAAAATTCGCTTTTCCAACCGATGTGCATTTCAAGGTACAAGTATTCTATGATTAACATTTTTTTTTTTTTTTTAACAAACAGAACTATCTGACTAATGAACAAATTTTTCAGTATCACAGAAATGAAGGATAATTCTTCAGATATTTTTTTTTTTGCAAACTAGTCCTCTTATCTAGAATAACTAGTTATCTTTCTTTTAAAGTATCATTCGAACCCAAAAATCCCCATTATTGAGGATGTTGTTGGGATGTTAAAACTAGTGGATGACCAGGACAGATGGAGTGACTGTCGAGGGCTGTTCTGCCAGTTTCCATGTTTCCGTTACTCCTACTCATAACAATTCCAGAACCAGAAGGCGTGGCAGGTATGGTACAAGTTGCTTCTTTTTCTCGTCTTTCCGCAGCAGCTCTGCTAAGAACGTACTGTGCTGCAAATTGGTGCTTTGGATCCATTCTCATATGCTCCATGTGATGGAGCAAACCTGAAAGTAGTATTCTTACTTTATATCTAATTTTTTTTTACTATGAGAAAAATCAATCATTAACAAGAATAAATTTCGAGTGTAATTCAAAATTTTGTTTCTTCTAAAAATCATTAAAATTTAATGTCTAAACACGTGAAATTACGCTTGTAAATATAGAATGAATGCTTGAAATTTTAGATTTAACTTGGTGTTTCCAAAAAAGCCGTGGAGCCACCAGTGACCGAGCGAATAAAGCCACGGGTTCGCAGCTTACCAACGTGGAGATTCCCGTATTTTCTTCGTCAGCTTCTCAAAGAAAGTCCTCCCGGGTGGTACCCCTCCTTGATTGTTCGTGTGTCGCGTTGCCTTATCCCATTAAACCAACCCAAGATAGTCTTTTTCGAGTTTAAAGTCTAATATTAAAGGCTAAATATTATCAAAATTTACTGTATTATCTTCAAATGCGAACATTTAAATTAGTGTATACTGAACGAACATTATTTATCAGTCACGTCAAAGTATCGGAGAGAATTTTCAAGCGGTTCTCTTGAATATAGAGATTTGTATATTTCTAGATATATCTACTATTTGTATGTATCCGTGATTGTAGAAACCGCTGATAAAGAGGTGTTAACATTTGATGATAATTTATTAAATCTACTTACCAGTTTCGTGGGTAAAGACACTTTGGCATACAGTACAGGGCCACATTCTTAGGGATGAAGTGACAGAAGCTGCCTCTGGATGGCTTGTGATGTGTTTTCGGAGAGAACCTTCGTTAACATATGTCTTCCCACATACTGGACAAGGATGGTTCGTGGTTCTTCTTTTATCTGGAATTTCAGAGAAATGTAGGATTAAATAAATTACCAGCAAACGGTAACGGTTCGACTTTTATCAAGAGAATATCCTAAGATCTCACCATTTATTTCTTAATGTCATTTAACATAAAGTGATAATGAAATAAAATTAACCCATCAGAGATATATCTTGTTTCAATTGGTCTTCAATGACATCATTCATTGTTTGTTGTTTCTTTTCAATAAGATAAGTGACATATTATTGTCATTTGTCTCACTGAAAAATGATTCAGGAGAAGTTACAACTTTCCTTTTGACTAGAAGACAGATTTTCTTTTCAATAGCATTGATTTGTTCAAATTGGTATTAATTTTTGGCCATTCTTTTGTAGAAATTTGGCTGATTTTCAAAAGGATTTTAACCTTGACACTGTCCTCAAATGATGCCAGAATTTTTGTAGAAACTAGGTTATTCTTTTCAATTCTTCAACTAAAAGTAATCATTTATTATGAAAAATGCAGTGAATTCTTCAGCAAAGAGTCATTTTATTTTCTGAAGAAATTCCTATTCATTGCACAATCGTTTGTTAACATTACTTCTTTCTTTTTTTTTAAACAGATGACATTAAACTATTATGTAAGTATAAAGACATGAACAGTTTCAATATAAAGCTATAGACTGAATATGATTGATGCCATTTTCTTGTTCAAGAACTTTAGTAAATGTTTAACTATAGGCCTATAAACGTTGTTAAAACAATAAATATTAATTTTTTTTAATTAAATAAAGATAAAAATTAATTTTTATCTCTGTAAATTCATATTTTTCATCGTTAAAAAATACGCAAATTTGGAACGAATGAGAGCCTTTTTTAATCGATATTTTCCTTTAAAATAACGTAAAAATATATCCGAAATTTGTAAATAATTTTAACCATCGAAAATCATTAAAAACTTTAACAAATATTCATAATTTCTGGCTGTAAAATAGTTTTTTTAGACATGATTTTACTGACATTTCTAAGCGTAAAATTAAAATTTGAGAAAAGAGATGTCGGAAAATAAAGGACCCAAAAAGCATATTCTGTTATCAAGAATATTATGAAACATATGAACATAATGTTTTTTTTTTTTATAAACTTAGAATAATTTCTATTACAAACATAAATATAATTCTTACAATCTACACGTGTAAGTGTGGGTGCGTGGACGTGTTCAAACCCTTTGAGAAAATGTGTTTTGTGTGATAAAAATCAACTAAAAAATAATTTTTAAAAAACAAGAAAAAAAAGACATGCCTTTTGAGTCCTTTTCCAAAAATTATTAAAAAAATTAAAATAAAAATTAATTAAAAACAATTATTTGTATAAACATTCAGGATAAAATTTTTCAATCAAATTCTGCAATTAAAGATTAAGTTAAACAAGACAAAACACACAAAAAAAGTAGTTTCTATGAGCTACTTCCAAACGTTGTGAATTCTTTTGAAATGGGACTCAAAAGGTGAAATTGTTCCCTCGTCCATCAAAGGGTTTGATGTATATATTTTTTGATATAGGAAAAAAATCCCATCCTTTTTAGTTATTCTTTTATTAAGAGTTAAATTCTACAAAAAACCACATGTTCAATCTGATCCACATCATGAGTCATTTTCATTGCTTACACTCGATAATAGGAAATATTTGCCAATAACATTAAACTCAGCTAACAATTCCATAAATTAAATCTCTTTTTTTTAAATTTTAATTGCAGAGAATCGATATACAAAGAATTTTCAATAAAATGAGCTCGATAAAATATCTTTTTTTTAAACTCTGCAATAAAAAATACACATTTAAAGAAAAACAGAAATATACTTTGGTCTATTATATATAATATATTTTGGAAATAATAAAAAATTCCTTTTTATGATATATATATATATATTTTTTTATTATTTTGCATTATTGATCATCGACATGTTTGCAACGCGTTGTCAATCACAACGTTTATAATGCATTAGTGCCTAAAGTATTGATGCCCTAAGAAAATCTGTTTAATAAAAGGAAGGCCTGGACACTAAACTAAATAAAAAGGACCACGATATTGTTAAAAAACCGAGCCAAAGAATAGAAAGATCAAATTTTCTTTTTTGTATATATTAAAATGATAACACGAGAAAATAGACCCAAAATGGCGAACTTCAAAGAGTTTTCTTAGAACATCAGCACTTTACGTGCACCGTTTTCGGTTGGAATAACACTGATGATCACTATCATATATACTTTTTTTTTTCTTTAATATCGTTTAACATGCAAGAATGATCTTCAATCCAACATTTACTTGTCCATTCCTAAACCATTTTCTGTACAACAACCACGCATTGAGTGATTTTAAATCAATGCTATCACAGAACCAATAGCTTTTAAGCCATACAAGATACTTTTATTATAGTCACCAAAGTGACTCCAAAACAGCACACAAACTAGCCTTTTCTTCCTCAATCATCCTCATTATCGTATTATTAAAGTTTTATTTATTATTATTTTTTTTTACTTTTTTTTAGATTTTTTTGAAGCAAATTGTAATTTGTTTTACTATCAATAAAACTACATTTAATGAGAAATAGATAGAGAGAAAGAGAGATTCTAATTATGACAATTATAAAAATCTCTTCTAGTATTTTGTTATTGAGAAAAATGATCAAATGAAAATGATACGATTTGAGCATATATTGATTCTTTTTTTACTATGTACAGTACAGAATTTGAGGTATTTTTTCTTATTTTCTTTTTATTCAAAAAATTCATTCATCGCTAAATTCTTTAAACAATGCTGCCTGAGTTTATCAGGTATCTGGATATTTTTTTTTTATATCAGGAACTATATCTTTGTGAATTTTAAAGGAACGTTTCCATATATATATATATACTTTTTTTTAGTTCATTTCGGCAATAAAAAAACTAAAATTGCGTTTTTTAAGCGTATACATCGGAAAATGAATATATATTTTTGTAATTTTTTTCCATTCTTTCATAATCTACTTACCTAATTATGTATTTCTAGTAAACAAACAAAAAGTTAATTACCCAATTAAATTGAAAAAAAAAACAAATAATAATTTTTCATATAAAAATTGCTAAATTAAAATAAAAATAAAGTTTTTTTCTTTATTCTTTTTCTTCTAAATAAATTATAATAACATCGGGGATGGATTTTTTTCTTTGCGCTTTTAATAAAATAAAATAAAATAAAATAATAGTAATAATAATAATAATGATAATAATAATAGTAATAATAATAAGAAACTTAAAAAATTAAAATTAAAATTAAGAAAAAAAAATTCATTTTTAAACCTTAAAAATGTGGAGCTAAATCTGAATTTTGAGCTATTTTATTTATTTATTTATTTATTTAATTATGTAATTTTTGAGGTAGACAATAATTTAATAAGAAAAAAATACAGTAACCCCGATCTTAAATTTACTGGCGTGAAAAATTGTTGTTATTATTATTGTTGTTGTTGTTGTTGTTGTTGTTGTTGTTGCATACGATAGGAACTTGACTATGATTATTTACAGTACAGTTAATTGTATATAATCATCATACATGTTTTTCTACATGTTATTACAATATTTCTTTGAGCAGAACATGTTACCATCTGAGCAAAACATGGGTGAATATATATATATTATATATATATAATATATATCGGAAGAGGTGCACATGAATTATTCAGTAATTGAAAATAAGTAAAGAGTATGGTGCAATGAGGTATTTACAGAATATGTATTTATATACATGTATATATTTATGTATAAATATATACATATATACGTAAAGTGTGGTAAGCACATAATTCGATAATGGTGCAATGTTTTTAAATGAGCAATAATCGACCTTTATGAGTCCCATTTCAAAGAATACAGTAATGCATAGTATATGAAACAGTCGTGATTAATGTATCTTGCCACCGGGAAGACGAACCCAAATCCATGGTCACTTAATGACTCCCAAAATTTACTTCTAGAGCACTCCGAATCATATAGAAGTGCTTTGAATTGCACTCAGAAGCAAAAAATCTTCCGATCCAAAAATCCAATGGGTATATTAATAATTCGGACTTGTATTGACCTTATTTTTAAGGACTGGTTCCAATATTTTAAACGTATGGATACAGATTCACGTGTTGGCAGGAAGAAATAAGGCCAAATCTCATAAAGGCATTTCTTTTAAAAATTCGTGTCGTGTGTTGGCTTTACCAATTTATTTAATTATTTCTTTTTTATTTATATATATATGTATATATATATATATATATATTTTACCGAACGATATAAAATGTACATACATTATCATGTCGAACATGTAACAACAAATGAACGTAACGCAACGAGAACTAGTAATACATGCTTTGGAGACAAAATGGTTACACTATCAGAACTAAAAAATGACTTTTTACAAGCGTGAATATGTGTGTTCATTATGTGATGTGTCGTCGTGCTGCACATTTGTACACGTGTGCAAATTAAAGTGTCTTTCCCGTGTGCATTAAATGAGTGACAGGAAGTATTGCTAATGTGGAAATGTACAAAGGGCAGGCTTTACCTATAAGCTAAGAAATGAATGTTGAGCCCGAGAAGCTAGCGGATGATGGGGATAATGATGATTCTGACCGTGTCCACCCGGATGAGCGGCCAAAGAATGGGGTCCCGCGGCCCCGACAACGGGTGGAACCATGAAATGGCCCATACCCATGCCCATAGTGGACATGAGACTTCCCGCATTCCCACTTAGAGCGCTAGCGTATGAGGAATGCAAAGGTGCGGTTAGAGATACTGCGTTTGAGGTAGATATGATGGATGTTCGTGAAGCTGGCGACGAAGCCTGAGGCGAGGAGGGAGAAGGAGAATGGATCGGAGTGACCATGGAAGTGGCGTTGCTGGTGGTGGAAATGCCAATAGTGGACGTCGAGTTGATGCGGGCACGATTAGAACGGGCACGTTTTCTCTTACTTGGTGTCCCCGATGCATTCGGATCCTTATGTGTCGATCGCATGTGTTCCATCAAAGCCTCTCCATTCAGGCAGATTTTGTGACATACAGGACAGGACTGTGAGTTTGCTCCTCCAATCAATGCTGCGTGTTGCTGAAATTCAAAAGAATATCAATTAGCATTCGTTTCCAAACATAAATCCCCAATTACAATGAATCATTTAAATTTGTTAAAAACTTAATGAATATTTATAATTGTTAGGAATTAAATTATACAGCAAGGCCTATATGAATGACATTATTAAAACTATAATTCTAACAAAATTTAAACTCTTTGTAGTCATATTATCTACTCTTCTTTCACTTTTGTCAGTCTTTAAAATTATTAAAGACAAATATTATTGAAGAAAAACATAATTTAATGCATGAATTTTCTAACTGAAACTCCATAAATCTATAATGGAACATTTTTCGTGTAGTTTACTATTATTTCCTAATTTGATAATGCTATTCCTATTACAGTTTATGCAATGCCATATGTTAACCGAAATTTAACAAGAATAGTAAGATTATATATATTCAGCGCTCCAAATTATCAATGTCAACCGCACCAAATTCAGCATAATTCAACAATGTTACCGTACGTAAAGGTCATCCGCAAACCGCACAAACTCCATACACCTCAACTGAAAGCACATCTCTATAAAAGAAATCATTGAATTCATGACCTTAATGGCAAACAATATGCAAGGAAGAGGTTTTTTTTTCCTACTCGATAAAAGAACAAATGTTAAAAAAAAAAACAAGAAGAAGGAACTAGAAGCAGGCTGTTGGATAAATGGATGAAAGTTGCGATCAAGAAGCCAGAGCGATATTCTACTCACCTTAGACCGATGAGTTCTGAGACTGCTTTCAGATGCAAATCCCTTTCCACAAATATTGCAATGGAAAGGTCGGTTCTTGGCACGTTCCATTTGGCTGTCGTGATTGCGAAGATGTTGCTGAAGATTTGAAAGTTGAATAAATGCTCGACCGCAATCCGGCAGGTGACATTTGTAGGGTCTTTCACCTATTTTAAAAAATATATATATATATATATAAAATACAAAATTAATAAATAAAAGGATCGATTATAAACATAATTTCTTATTTAATAATAATAATAATAAATTTAAAAATTTTCTTGATTCATATTTCTTCCAGAAGATGGCGCTAATATGTCAGCAAGGCCGCACAAAAGAGAGTAGAAAATGTCACATTTTTGTGTTACGGTTTATGAGGGACTGACAAAAATTCGTGCAAAAATTAAACATATTCATAAAGGCGAGAATCTTTAAAGAGAATGAAAAATTTCCTTCATTGTATTGAGTTCATTTGCATAATATAAAAATTGAAAAAAGTGTTCTCATATCGGTACGCCGGAATTTAAAAATATATATACACATACATATACATATACATAAAAAAAAAAAAAGCTATAGAGTCGTTAATTTCTCTATTTCGCCGGTTGTTCATTACTAAGACAAGGTTTTTAATTAAATCGCATCTTTCCCGAAACTCTCGATGACGTGCGCGTCACGTGATCGATCGGGGGAGGAGGAATAAAAACACCCCTCTGACGTCAGCGGCGAGTTTTATTCGATAAGAGAACGGAATTTTGTAGGAACCTTACACAAATAATTGATACCGAAATTAAAATCATGCTTCGTTTATATAATTCCAATCAGATAGAAGTGGTTGTCGATTATAAAAGAGACTCTCTGCTTCTAAAAAACGGAGGGGAAAAAAAAAAGAAAAAGTAGGAGCCACCCCAATGCCTCTTTCGCTATGCGTTCGGTCATTCATCATATTCGACTGTCATGTCTCCTCTTTTATTCTTTCTTAGCAAAAAGTAAAAAGATCTCGAGAGTCGAACCTCTACTTCCTTATTGGCAGGATGCCATTTGGTCTATTTAGTGATTGGATACGGCTCTGTCGCCAACCCAGGAAAAAAAAAAAAAGAAAATAACTAGAAAAATCAAAAAATATACATAAAAAATTCGGAAGAATATCAAGACACAAAACAGGATTTCTCCAAGTTTTTCTTTGATTTAAGAATGGTAACGAAGGCGCGAAAATTTGTATAGTTTTAATGAATTCCACTTCTTTTATATCAGTTGATGGTTCGAGTTTTCAAGGATGTCTTGTTGTCGTGTTTTTATTTTTCGAATTTATTTACTTATTTATTTCGAATTTTGGCCTGGAAATAAATATAACTCACGCTCTATAAACTAAACTTATTTAAATGCATTATAATTACTTTAAAAAAAAGAAATAAAATTAAAAAAAAAAAAGTATATAGAAAGAGGGGATGCAATAAAGTTTGAAGTAGATGGTCATCGCTAATGGTTATTGATTATTAAGTCTGTTTTTATGTGTACGTACATGTAAAATGTCTTCGTATTGGGTTGATGGTTCGATAATTTATAATATAGGCTATTAAAGTGTGTTATTGTTCATTTGTAAGAATCCATGAGGGCGGGATAAAAAGGGCATTTGTGTTGCATTTCTTTGTATATTCTGAAGACTTTACACGGCAATTTCGGGTCGTTATTTGCTTAAAATCGAAGCAGAAACGTGATTTTGATTAAAGCTATTTCTCAATCGGTGGATCGCGAACTATATTTCTCAGTTATGTCAAGATTTTCTAACACGCTGAAAGAAGATGCCAAGTAAAAGAATGTTGAAAAATGACGTTCTGAAGTATTATGGTGGGATAGAAGAATTAAAATTCCGATAAAATGTAGTATGATATATGTTTACAAAGATAAAAATATGAATTTAGAAAGGTTAAAAATAAATTTTAAGGAGAGTTTTAATGGAAACGCATCCCTCTTTTTTCTGAGATTTTCCAGACAATTTATTAAAAATCTATTAATAGAAACGAATGAGGATTAGTAGGATTTGGTAATGAAAAGAGGTCTAGGAATGTAAATAATCTACTCACCTGTATGAAGCCTTGTGTGCTGTTGAACATGTGACAATTGCTTAAATCGTCGATCGCAATATGAACATTTGTACGGTTTCTCTCCTGTGTGGATTCGGATGTGTTGAGTAAGCTGATGGTTAGAAGAAAAAGACTTCAGACATTGTTGACATTGATGCGGTTTCAGATCTCCGCGATGAACTTCACGAGCGTGATGCTGCATGGCCGACTTATGCATGAAAATCTGTAAAACAAATACGAAACGTCAAACTTCATCTATTTTATGATAAAAATAGTTCGTTGGTCGAAGTACAAAACCCGTTTCGATCACTCGACAAAGGTCTTTACGAGAATATTTATAATTATTGGACGTAGTAAAAGGAAAGAAAGGGAAGAAAAACTTAACATTTTTTGACGTCCGGCATCAAATAGCAGTTTGTGTGTAGTTTATCAATGGAATATCCCAAGTGTTAGTACGAATCTTAAACGTCTTCCATCTTAAACGTCAAACTCAATCAGAAAGTAGATTTATGTTCTTTGTGAGTGCGGCTGTATTTTTTTAATGAGTATGCAAAATTCTTCCATTTAAGAAAGTACGAGCTGTTGGAATCAATTTAGAGTGAAAAACGTTGAGTTTTGTTTTCTGGAAAAGTTTGTTTTCTAAAGAAACAAAATGTCGATACAAAGATAAACAAGGACGACTGAAAATGTTCGATACTATCTCATATTATGCCTATTCTATTATTTATAAAAAGGAATCCAAGCAGATAAAAATCCAGCATTTCTTTATGTATTTTGAAGGGTCTAGGGACTTTACACAACATTTTCTGCAGCGTTATTTGCTTAAAATTGATATAAAAACACTTATATAAAACCAATATAAAGCATTCTCCTAAGTCCTCGTCTCAATTTCAATACTTAAATTCGTGCAGTTTTTTAATTAGAAATCTTATATACAAGGCCTAAATGTTAAATATATTTTAATTACATTATAGAAAACATCATTTTAAACCAAAATTTCTTCGGTTATTTAATGTTCTTTTGCCTTTTATGATGTTTTTGCTTCTATTATCGATGACTAAAAGTATCGAGCGAACTGCACTTGGCGACTGAGAAATATAAAAAAGTTATAGAGCTTCATTAATGATAATTTATCGGAATAATTCTACAGTTTGGATGATTTCGAATGCAAAAAAAACCGAGAAAATAAAAAGGAAAGTTTATCCAAAAAGCAATAAACTTAATAACAATAACTCTCTCTTTTTTTTGAATGAGATAAAAAGTACTTGAAGAGAAATTTATAAATTTTAGATAAAATAGAAATTTGTTAGGATTATAACATCGTAGGCCTAAATTTGTAGGTAATTTAATTTGTAAAATACGGCTTAAACAATGATGAATAGAGAGCAGAGTAGTCGGAATGTTAAGTCTATTTGTTAATGTGCCAAAAAAGTAGTATGACCGTTTTTATCTCAATCCATAAATATGAAATACTCGACTAAGAATCTTCTTGAATTCCAAACTGTTGTTTAGCCGAAACTGCAGAAATAAATTGAAATTTTAAACGAGGAATGCTTCATTATAATCATTGTTTCCACAAAAAAAAGAAGTTAAAAATAACATTAAATTCTCAAACAAATTGTGTAAAACAGATGCTTACAAATTAGCCAAGTAGTTAATGTATCATTTTAAAGATTTAGGCTAGCTTTAAACATTATAGGCTACAATCTTGTAACTAATCTCATCTCTTCCACGATAATTTATAGAGATGAGATTATTTAGAACTCTCTTCATAACACCCATACTACACCTAGGCTATAAAGGCCTTGTAGATAGATCTCTTCCTTCCTTTATGATGCAGAAACTCATGAAAGATGAAGGCCTATGCCATTGATTTGCTTCATAAACACCTTAAAAATTTAAATATGTATGTTCTTAATTAAAATCTGTATACTTATTTATCCTATATATTCAACTTAAAAATAGTGATTTAATAGGAATTTATTGTAAAAACTGTATAAAAATAAGAAAAAGATATGTGAAATATAATTATTCTGATGATATAAATTTATAATATATAATTAAAAGTTTTTTAAATGTTATTTTTATAATTAAGGCCTTAGGATTTTACCTTCCAGGCTTATAGTTTAGGAGTATCTGTCTTACAGGATAATTTTAGATGCATTATAAAAGGTTAATTGTATACAAATTTCAATTACGAACATCCGCAAATTAAAATTACACAGATGTTAGGTAAGAACGAGTAACAACTATGCATTAATTGGATTCTATCGTTTAGGCCTCCATCTAAGTTACACCAATTTCTGCCTAGTAAATGAAGGAACAAATTACACAGAATATAATTGTAGGCCTTTGTATCGATGAATTTTAAGGCATTCGACTGTCATGTCTCCTCTTTTATTCTTTCTTAGCAAAAAGTAAAAAGATCTCGAGAGTCGAACCTCTACTTCCTTATTGGCAGGATGCCATTTGGTCTATTTAGTGATTGGATACGGCTCTGTCGCCAACCCAGGAAAAAAAAAAAAAGAAAATAANTATTTTAAAGTCAGGCCATACACTATATTTTTTTAGTGATTTAAAATTATCTTTGAATTAATCTTACACAAGATATGGCCTAATTCTATCCTTTATAAGCTTTTATTTATATTTATTTTGTCTCCTATGATGGCTTAATGAGTGCCATAGAAATATAATAAAAGATATGTAATTTAATCTATTTAAATTCAAATTTTTGGAAATAATTCTAAATTTATGATCTTAAGTCTTTCAATCTTGTTCAGTACCTACTTAGACTTCTAAGATAATCTTATGAGAAGGCATAGAAAGTGGCCTTAGAAAATACGTAATAGGAGAATATAATTAAATCATTTAAATTTAAATTTATTTAGAAAAAGTTCTAAACTTGTGATCTTAAACCTTCCAATAATTTTAAACTCTTATTCTGTATCTATTTTGTCTTCTAAGGCAGTTCTGAGAATGTTATAGAAAGCCTTCTAAGGTTCAAAAATTATTATAAAATGTATTAGAAAGCACATAATTAAATTTTAATTTAAAAAACATAATTCTAAACCTAATGATCCACTTAAATCTTCTAATAAATCTTTGAAAATGCCTTGCATTTATCTGTATTTTTACAAAGTTATACATAAAGTGCCTTCAAGGTACTGTACAGTACACTCAATAGCAAAAATCTATGCTTTTAGTAATTAAAAAATAAAATTTTAAGAATTAAATATGTTCTATTTAATATTTGCTAATTATAACTTTAATTATATATTATATACATTTTTTTCTGATAATTTAGAACAGCACATTTTAACATACATAATGGCCTAATATAGTTTATGAGAGAAACTTTTAAATAAAGTTCACAAATATATATTTTATTTAATAATAATTAGGCCTATTCAAATTGTAAATCCATAAAGGAAACTGTATGTTTAATTATCAACAATTACTAGTGTAAAACATTTGCTAATCTGAAAATAGTAACTACTTTGCTTTATCTAGAGCAAAATTTAAATTTATATCACTACTAAATTATAAATTATACAAATTAAAATCATTTTCTAGAAATCTAAACTTAAATTTTTCTTGAATGTTTCTTCAAAATTTTGTATTTTATTAATTTAAAACAACATTCCCTATAGTGATCCAAATATATAAACTCAGCAACTGAAAATAATTTTTTATGTAATTTAGATCTTTTATTGATCTAAATGTAATAATTTAAAGCAGTTATATTTAATAATATAACAATTTTATTCTAAAACATTTTCTAATAAGTCTAAGTGCAGTTTAAAATATAAAAATTAGACCTTTTATGCAATGTTAATCAAACAAAATGAGCCTTTTACTCTTTCTATTAATATAAATTTTGTATAAGTTTTGATTTTAATAATGCAAAATTTTATGCTATATTAATTTAAAAATGTATTATTAATTACACCTTTCATGATTTAAATCAGAGGCTTGTAATTATTTACAATTGCATTTTATGAACTTTTCTATTATCTAAACCCGAATAACTCAATAAATTAATTTTTTTTCCATATTTAAATCTATTCTGAAATATAAATTTAACGTTTAAATCATCTAAAAATATATTTTTCCTTCCAATTTATTCAAATTTGAGCCTTTTATAAACATTTATATTGATAACTCTCCAGTATAAGCAGTTTATAACATGAAAATATTCTAAACCGAGAAACATTTAAGTAAAATAAGAATTTATAATTATTTCTCGACTTAACTCCTCGTATAATATTTATAAATAAAGATATCTCTGTGCATCTTTAAATTACCAAATGCAATCACTCAAGCGAAAAGTTAGACCCAAAATGGCCTCCGATTCAACATTTATACATGGAGACTACAAAGTTAAGAGTCAAGTATAAGATCCTATTTCAGATTCATGGAGGCCTACACCTTCTACATTATAAAACCATATACTTCAGTCAGATTTACTATCAAAACTTTCAGAGAAAAAGATTTATTTTCGAAACGCATAAACGATTCTTTATGAACATCGGGTCGACTAATCTTTAAAGATTGTCGGGCCTGATAAATGATCTTTAAAGATGGCCACAAAAAATAAATATTATATATAGAATTCCTCCAACTTAAAATATCTTAGTTTTAGATTTTAAAAAATCTTTTAAAAATTTAATAAATTTATTTTAAAAAATCGTTGTGTTTAGTCGAAGCCGTGTGTTAAAAGTTGAAGCAGATTAAGGTAAAAAGATTGAAGAATAATCTATTAAAGGCCTCATATATATTTATAAAATAATATTTTATGTGAGAAAAATAAATTTATAAAAGATTATATCCAATAAAGTAGCTATAAAAGATAAATATTCGATCATTTGTCGACATTCGATGTGTCAAAATATGAAAAGAGAAGCAAGTCCGATTCCCACTGAAAAAAATAATAAATTTGGCTCTTGTAAAATTGCATTGAAGTCAAATATTCTTTATTGTAATATTATTAAAATGTCACGGCAATATAAAATAGTTTTATTCGCGAATATTTAGCACTTTAACACTATTCCATCTGCTTTTTTTCTTCTTACAAGATCCCATATTTCTACACCTTCCGTTGGAATGATTTATAGCTCTTCAACGTGATAGCAAATTTTCTAATCGTTTTTTTTTTTTTTTATAAATTTCTAGATTAAATAAAATGAAAAAGAAGTTTTTCCAAAATTTAGTATCCTTTTTTTT